CTATATCCAAATCTGAACCGATCTCGATAAAATTTGTGCAAAGATATTTCTGAGCTCTAATTTATATATTTCCCTGTATATCGTTGTTACGGAGTGCATATTACGGTTATGGGTAACAAATACAACAAATCGGATGAACAATGTATAAGGGAGCTATAGCTATATCTGAACCGATCTTCACCAAATTCGACATACTACCTTCTAGACTCAATTCGGTCGTATGTGCCAAATTTTATCCCGTTTGTGCAAATATTAGACGTTTGGTGCACAAAAAAACGTAAATCGGACGAAGTTATGTATGGGAGCTATATTCAAATCTAAACCGATCTCGATAAAATTTAGCAAAGGTATTTCTGAACTGCATTTGATATATTTCCCCAAATATTGTTGTTACAGAGTGCATATTACGGCTGCGGAGGGCAGAAATAACAAATCGGATGAACAATATATATGGGAGCTATAGCTATATCTGAACCGATTTCGATCAAATTTGGCATACTTATTTTCAGGCCTAATTTGGTTGTATTCGGGCGGATATTACATGTTTGGTGCACAATAAAAGGCAAATCGGACGAAGATGTATATGGGAGCTATATCTAAATTTTTACCGATTATCTTCAATTTCAATAGGGTTCGTCCTTGGGTCAAACAAATGTTGTTTGCAAAATTTCATCTCAATCGGATAATAAATGCGACCTGCATTTTGTTCACAAGAATACATGGACAGACGGACGGACTGACATGCCTAAATCAACTCAGAAAGTGATTCTATGGAGATCCTCAAAAGTAACTATGGGTCTATCTCGCTTTCTTCTCCATATTACAAACAAATGCACAAAGACATAATACCCTTACCATTATGTGGTGAAGGGTATAAATACTTGTTAAAATTTACTTGCTTATTGGTAAATTTGAAATTACAATTCTCTAGGTTTAGGGTTGTGTTTAAATTTAATCATTTAATCTCTTGTATCATGAAGATGACTAAATTAATAAATGAAATTTCGGTTATTCTTTACCGCGAAAAATTTTCCACATTGCACTGAAGTTACAATTTATAATAAACCAGTAAGGAAAGCTCAAAAGTCGGACGGGGCCGACTATATGATACCCTACACCACTATGCATATTTAGTAGAGCTCTCGTAAAAAGGTTTATACAGGGCATTTCAGAGCTCTATGAGATATTTGGTACAAAATCAAAATCTATCTAATTCTATCGTGCATTTTACGAACTATAGCTATCTCTGAGCCGGGTTTCTCCAAATTTTACGTATTAGCTTCTAGACTAGTGATTTGGGCTGATATTGACCATTTAGTGCACATTTAACCCGAAATCGGATGAAGATATATATGAGAGCTATATCCAAATCTGAACCGATTTCGATAAAATTTAAAACAGCTTTTCCTGTGCTCCATCTAATACCTGGTACCAAATATCACGGTTGTAGAGTGAATATTACGAATATATGGGACTAAAACATTAAATCGGATGAAACATATATATGGTTGCTATACCTATATCTGAACCGATTTTCACTAAATTATTAATTATTATTTATATACTTGCTTCTAGGCTGAATTTGGTCCGATGTACTAAAATTCAGTCCATTTGGACTTATATTGGCCATTTGGTGCACAATTAACCCGAAATCGGATGAAGATATATATGGGAGCTATATCCAAATCTGAACCGATTTCGATAAAATTACAAACAGCTATTTCTGGGCTGTATCTTATATCTGGTACCAAATATCATTCTTGTGGAGTGCATATTACGAATGTGAGAGGCTTAAACACCAAATCGGATGAAAGATATATATGGGAGCTATAGCTATATCTGAACCGATTTTCTCCAAATTTGATATACTTGCTTCTAGGCTGAATTTGGTCCGATGTACTAAAATTCAGGTAATTTGGACTGATAGTGGACATTTGGTGCACGTTTAACCCGAAATCGGATGAAGATATATATGGGAGCTATAGCTGTTTCTGAACCGATTTTCTCCAAATTTGTTGTATTTTCTTTAAGGCTAATCTCGGTCTCATGTGCCAAAATTCTGGCCATTTGGGCTGATATTGGCCATTTGGTGGTCAATTAACCCGAAATCGGATGAAGATATATATGGGAGCTATATCCAAATCTGAACCGATTTCGATAAAATTTAAAACAGCTATTTCTGTGCTCCATCTAATATCTGGTACCAAATATCACGGTTGTGGAGTGCATAGTAGGAATGTGAGGGACTTAAAGATCAAATCGGATGAAAGATATATATGGGAGCTATAGCTATATCTGAACCGATTTTCTCCAAATTTGATATACTTGCTTCTAGGCCGAACTCGGTTGGGAGTGCCAAAATTCAGGTAATTTGGACTGATAGTGGATTTTTGGTGCACATTTAACCCGAAATCGGATGAAGATATATATGGGAGCTATATCTAAATTTGATCCGATTCTCACCAATTTCAATAGGGTTCGTCCTTGGGCCAAAAAAATATTGTTTGGAAAATTTCATCTCAATCGGGTAATAAATGCGACCTGCATTTTGTTCACAAGAATACATGGACAGACGGACGGACGGACGGACGGACAGACGGACTGACATGCATAAATCGACTCAGAAAGTGATTCTATGAAGGTTCTCAAAAGTAACTATGGGTCTATCTCGTTTCCTGCTCCATGTTACAAACAAATGCACAAAGACATAATACCCTTACCACTATGTGGTGCAGGGTATAAAAAGAATATCTGAACTTAAAGGGAACTTAAACACAAATCGCTAATATTACAATCGAGTCTATTCAGCTGGGGTTTTGTTTCAAGATTTTTGTCTTAAGTAGTGGACCCTGCGTAATTTTACTTGTTCCATGAGTATCTTAAGAGAGATTTTTTTAAATATATGTATGCTCGTTGAGCTCCTGATTGCAGTTTATTATTTTTTTTAACATGTCTGATTGATTTTCATGTCTTTTTTCTTTTTTAGGAATTTAGTAGTTTCTATGCTTGTATTTTCTACATCCGCTATAATATATATAAAATACATATATACATTTTAGACCCCACAAAGTATATATATTCTTGATCAGCATAAAATTCTATGTCGATTTAGCAATGTCCGTCCGTCTATCCGTCTGTGGAAATCACTTAAGCTTCGGAACGAAATGAAGTAGGTTGATAACATTTTACTCAAATGTGTATTATTTCTGCAGGACTTTTGGTATTGAAAATGGGCCATGTATATATATAACGTTACCTCCCGATTTTCGGTATTTTAATGATTTTAGCGACATTATTTAACGGAATTATTTCAAGTTTTGCATTTTAAGTTCGTAATGCATACTACAGCCTATGCCAGAAAATTGTCTCTGCGTGTTCATGTTTTATAACCCCCATGGTACCTCCCTATATTCGATATTTTGATGGTTTATAATATATAAACAGATTTTTTCAAGTTTCGCATTTGAATATTGTAATAGCTTGTGACAAAAGTTTCCTATGCACGCCATGTCGTCTTATAGACCCTAATATACGGGTACATTCGGTATTTTTAAGATTTTAACCGAATTTTGAAGGGATTTTTTTTTTTTTTTTTAAATTGCCAATTTTTTAGCAAATGGTGGAGGGTATTCAAAGTTCGGCCCGGCCGAACACACACCTCTCCACCTTGCTTAACTGTTGTTCAGCTAGGTGTAAGGGTTCGATTTTTTTTTTTGGTTTGTTAAGTTTTGTTATGTATTTATTTATTTAACTTAGTTATAAGAAAATTTTATATAGTTGTATATTAATATAAGATATTTTGTCACTTATAAGATATTGGTATATTTTGTTAAATTGTATGAAATGAAAAGGACATCACAAATTTATGGTTCAAATGGTAGTTTTAAAGAAGTCTGATGTTAATAAGAAAGGTTCCTAAAATCTAGAAGGCATTCTAAGCACAGTTACTTAAAAAAGTATCAATTTTAGAAAAAATTTCGATCGTGTAGCCGGAGTTGGACATATCCAGAGGAGGAAATCTAAATCCCCGGCCACAGGACGACAACTTCGGTCCCGTAGGCGCCGATGATACACTTGTTTGGTCTTGCAAATATTGGAATATATTGGGCTCTAACGGAACATTTAGGGTCTATATTTCGGAAAGTACGGACTTTCCCAAGAAATAGCTAAAACTTGTGGTCGGCGAAGGGACCCTTCTTGATCCGATACATATATTGTCCATAATGAGTCTGACCCGGGACAAATGCTAAGCTATATGGAAACAACTTAAGTTTGTAAAAACTCTTAGGTTTTTTCGATTTTTTTTTCGGGGAATTATTTTTTTCTTGGGGACGGACCCGGGACCCCAAATTTTCGACCTGAAAATCCGGGTTCAAGACTTGGTCTAGACCCGGATACACTTACCCGATATAGACAACATACATAGCTTATGAAAATACCTATCCACCAAGTGGTCACATGATGGGGATATTATAAACGGTTCAGAAGTTATAGTAGATTTTTCGGACCCGGATTTTTTATAAAATCCCCAAAAAGTCGAAAAAGGGCCCACTATAGGGGTCAACAAGACTGTTGCAAAATGATTGCTGCCACTCTTGTCTTTCCAAAATGCCACAATTTGTGCTAATACCTTTTCTGGATCCAGAAATGTGGGTCTTTCGACCCGCATAACCCGATTCTAACCAGTTCATTAAAATTATGTTTTCAATAAAAAAAACTTTGTTTCGTACGATACCTATATTGCCTATATCGGGCAAGTGAATCCGGGTCCAGTGCGGGTCCCGGGTCGGTCCCCCAAGAAAAAAATAGTTTCCCGGAAGTAGGGTAAAAATACCTATCACTAGAAAAAATTTCGAAAAAATTAAAGTTTTTAATAAACTGGAGTTAAGACACTACATGTTATTATAGCTGTGATTGTTCAGGTACAAACTGCTTTCAGGACGTTTAAATCATCTTCTTGGTTTTTTGTTGTTCTATTTATCCTCTGCATCAATACGTACCCGTTGTTGTGCCTTTGCTTTATAAAGTGTTCAATGTCACAGTTGACGTTGTATATAAATTCTTCGTCTGCAATCGATAGGTTGGCGTTTGATAGTTTACGTGAACACTGCTCCAACTCCAGTTTTGCTAATTTGTTTGCGGCTTCTTAATAGCCGCTGACCACTTCTGCCAACACAAAGCAACGTACAGACGAATGTTGTCACAAATTTTTTTAGAATATACGAAAATGTATATATGTATGTATGTAGAAAGGAAGCAAAGGCCAGCCAATAAATTCCAATGTGAATTGTCGCACAATCTTTTAAGCTAACTTCTCGCCGTCACTATACATATAGTATGTATGTACATATAAAACAAAACAAGAAATATGAAATGTGATTCCTCGCAGATATTTAACGGAACGCGCTTAAAACACTTTGCACAAGATTTCATGAAGTCAACAATACTTGAAAGGAACTCTTTTTTTAATAGAAGTTTGCAATTAAGCTCGACTTTAGACGATTAGAACGAATTAAAATGTGACTGACGTTCTCCTATAATTCTATCAACAAGAATCATTCTGACAGTTGTCAAAAAAACAATCGGATTTCGGCTAAGCGATTACTAAGACCAAATAAGTAATCGATTTTCGATTGCATTGATAATTGTAATAGCTCTATTCCAGATCTTAAACATGAGTCAATAGAGCAAGTCATTTATGTTTACATGTACGTTTTTAAATTCACTCGGTTTAACCATGATACAATAAAAAGATTAGCTGGTAGCTCTACCAGCTGATTACAATTTTTTTCTAAGTGTGCCCGACTTCTGGCAATTTTGTGTATGTATTTGTTGTTTTGAAAAATAAAAACAAAATATTTACATAATCAATGATTGGAAGAAACTTAAATTGCGGGGATCGCATTAGTAATATAACCAGATTTGCCATGGAATTGAAAGATTGAACACTTAGGATCATCTTTTTGGGAAAACATACAGGTATTTCATTCATCTTTCGCGCTATTCTACTCATTTTAAAAATAAACAAATAATATCAAATGAATGAAAACAATTTGGTGCATAAAATTTTGAGTAATTCTGACAGGAAGCGGGCATATCCTTAGGGCTGTATTTCTGTAGTTTTACAAAGCTGTTCTACCTCCTTATTGTACCATGGGTTTAACCATGGTAGAAGAATGCAGGTAGTCGCATCCATGGTAGGTGTATCAACGCTTGGGAACATTGATGTCGAAAATGTTTAAATGTTTTTTTTTTTTTTTTTTCAAAAATAAGTAGATTTTTGTATGTTTTCTTATACGACACCAACAGGAGGTTATTATGATATGCATTTTTCAAAGATTTTGACGAATTTGAATAATTTTTCTTCAAAATGTTCAATTTCAAAATTGGTTTGACTGTTCAATTGGTTTTTTGAAAAATTCATATCATGAATACCTCTGATTGGCGTCGTATAAGGAACATGTAAAAATGTACTTATTTTTAAAAAAACATTAAAAAAATTTGATTTAACAAACCCGTCGTCCATGGCACAATTACAGAAGGTAAAACAAAGCTACTCCCTGAATACAATCTTTTGGTGTCCTTATTCTGTCAAAACATATACACATTATGGCCGGTTCTTACATATTGCCGGTAGATAAAAAAGTGATGTTGTCGGACACATAAATAACAGCAAAACTTATTTAAATAAAAAAATGGATAACGCAAATCGTTTATTTTATATTGAAGGACTGAATCATAAATTTATTTCACGAAATTAATTACAAATTCGCATTTTGTTTATTATTTTTAAACAAAAATGAAGATGCCATTGTGAAAAAATGCAGTGAATACCAGTTACTTTTAAAAAAGCTTACCATATCTCTGTAAAAATGCATATATTTTAAAGGAAAGATGCAGTAATGAGAACCCGATAATGTGAAATTTTTACTTCACTTTTCCTAAAGTAAGGCATAACAAAAGTGGACTATAAAGGAAAAATATAAGAACGGGCCTATGTGTATGTGTGTGTATTGTTTTGAATAAAAAAATACAATACTTTAAAATTATTTCAAATTTGGTTGCAAAACAAATGCATATTTTCGACGGTAAGGCAACACATTGTACGATTTGAGGATAAAATTGTATTGCCCTATTATTTTAGATTTAATATTGTGGAAAAACCCCAACATTCCATTTTTCGTTCGCGGATTTTCCCCAATATATGAATTTTGTTAAAAAATAATCAAAACCAACTGTTGCATATTTAAAAGTTTATTTGACACTATAAGACACAGAGTTGCATATTTGTAGTTTCTTTGAAGTTGATCAACCTTTCTAATTGAACCATGCCGTCGTCTACATAATTTAACACGCTTATGTAATACTCTGCCCAAATACGCAAGGTACATATTTCAAGCCAATTGTTCCTTTTATACCCTCCACCATACTAAGGAGGGTATATTAATTTTGTCATTCCGTTTGTAACTCCTCGAAATACTCATGTCAGACCCAACAAAGTATATATATTCTTGATCAGCGTAAAATTCTAAGACGATTTAGCCATGTCCGTCTGTCTGTCCGTCTGTCTGTCTGTCTGTTGTAATCACGCTATCTTTCGAACAAATTGAGATAGAAGGCTAAAATTTTGCACACATGTATATTTTCCCAGTAGGCAGGTTAAGTTCGTAAATGGGCCATGTAGGTCCAAGTTATCATATAGCCCCCATATAACGGTACCTCCCGATATTCGGTATTTTGATGATTTTAGCGACATTATTCACCGGAATTATTTCAAATTTGGCATTTGAAGTTCGTAACGGATACTACAGCCTAAGACAGAAAATTATCTGTGAAGGTCCACGTCTTCGTGTAGCCCCCATATAACGGTACCCCCCGATATTCGGTATTTTGATGATTTTAGCGACATTGTTTACCGGAATCGTTTCAAATTTGGTATTTGAAGTTCGTAGTGGATACTACATCCTAAATCCAAAAATGAGCCATATAGGTCCACGTCTTCATATAGCCCCCATATAACGGTACCCCCGATATTCGGTATTTTGATGATTTTAGCGACATTGTTTACCGGAATCGTTTCAAATTTTGTATTTGAAGTTCGTAATGGATACTACATCCAAAGTCAAAAAATGTGCCATGTAGGTCCACGTCTTCATATAGCCCCCATATAACGGTATCCCCCCGATATTCGGTATTTTGATGATTTTAGCGACAATATTTACAGGGATTGTTTCAAATTTCGCATGTGAAGTTTGTAATGGATACTTCAGCCCATGCCAGAAAATTGTCTGTGCAGGTCCACGTCTTCGTATAGCCCCCATATAACGGTACCCCCCATATTCGGTATTTTGATGATTTTAGCTACATTATAAACAGATTTCTCTTCAAGTTTCGCATTTTCTTCCAAATTCCAAAAATGTGCGAAAATTCTAAAATAAATAAACCAATTATTGTATACTTTAAACGCCACAAAAAACTAGCTTATCTCCTTCTACAGCAACTAAGCTTGCCACTTAGCTATGTATATAAAAATATGGAAAATTCCTATAAAATAAATAAAAATCAGTTTATTTTCTGATTATTATATATAACTTGCTAACATATGCAAGATCTACAACTTTTTTAGATGAAGTTCGAAATATTTTATTTGTAACTCGTTATATTTCATTTGTTATTCGAGAATTCCATTTGTAATACATACAATTTCATTTAAAATTCTATAATCACTTATTTTATTTGTAATTCATTTTTTATATTTTTATTCGAATTATTCCGTTTGAAATTTGAATTATTTTATCTGTAATTTGAAAAAGTATGTATAAAAGAGTTACCTCTAATTAGTAGCGTGCACAAATATTCAAGTTCCCTATGGTAAAATGCATGGTAGAATTAAGAAGGTAATGTTAGGCAATCATATGATTCCAATTTTTCAAAATTATTCATTTGACAACATCTCATTGTCAAAATGTATGTTTATAAATCCATTGTATACCCACAAATCAGAGATGGGAACCTATTTACAATGCATTGAAATTTGACAAGCTAAGTTACCGACAATGCAGAGTTGGCAATGATTATTTGAAATTTGACTTTACCTTCTTAATACGGTCCATATCTTTAAATCTACCAAATAATAAGTTCCCAATTACAAACATTCACATTATTTGTATTAATAGTTTCTATTTTAAACAAAAAAAAATTGCTCAGTTGTCAATGTTGAAATTTTTCAACTGAAGTTTCTTACGGTCAACGTATTTTGATGGCAGTTATATAAATACTGTTGTGTGCAATCGAAATTGTTTTTTTTTTTAAAAAACAGACAAGATTTTTGCTCCCGCTGGTTGCAAACGTCGATGATAGGAAAAAGAACCGGAAAGGATACTGCCAATAATTTAATGATTTAGAAAAAAGTAATGCAAATGTTGTTTGTTGATGGAAGTTAGGGATCACATAACGGTGCCAATAAATGCAACCCTGTGTTAATTGTAGGGTTGTGTAATTAAAGTACTAAAAAGGGGAAGATAAATAAATGCTTCGTTCCAGAAAAAGTTGTACATTCTCACAGTTCTGGAACAGAACAAAATAAAAAGTGGAAAAGAGGGAAAATTCGGCGTCTTTTTGATCTTGTTGTGAAATTGAGGTGCTCGGTGCTCTTGAAAAATATGAACTACGACAGATATTGTCAATTTTGCAATTCAATTTTATCTCGTACCATTTTTAAAAAGAAATTCCAACTACAGATCTGATCTTAGAAAATATACAGGGTGAGATAAAAAAAACTGCAACAAAGTCAAACGCCATAATTTTCAAATTTTTTTTAATTTTATTCAATGACAGCAAAAAATGTCGGAAAAAGCATAAAATTTTAGAATAAGTTTAGATTTGTTCGAATTGGTCACCTTTGGCACGAATTATGACCTTCAAACGGCCAATGAAACCGTCACACGCTGCCCGAATGTTGCTCTGCGGTATTTTGGCCCATTCCCGGTGAAGCGCTTGTTTGATATGATCGACACTTCGGTATTTTTTAGCGCCAACCTTTCTTTCCAAAATACTCCAGACACAATAGGTCAACGGATTGGTATCCGGAGATTTTGGTGGCCATTGTGCCCTGTTTCCAGCGAGGAATCTCAATGTTTGCGTG